AAGACACTTATTTTTATTCTCATTTTCCGTCATGATAGTAATACAAATGCTTGGAGTCTCTTTATTCAAATTCAATTAACTGAAAAGTTCGTTGACCTGTAAAAAGGATGAGGATACATTCAAAGTACCTTGAAGGAGCACAGATCCAAAAAAGATGTATTTTATGAGCCTATCGTATCTGCAGAACGAATTGGTAATATAAGTAAGAAGTGGATCCCACGGATACAACTGAACTGCGCTTCCAAAAGCAATGAGCAAGATTCTTGCATACCACCTGTATCACTGTCTGTCTATGACACGCCTGTGTCTCCCTCTAACTCACGGAGAGATTAGTTATAGAAATGAATAAGAGAGATAGACTTTGATAGTATCCAGACTTCCGTCAGCGATCGCCGATATAAGTTGTGGATTAAGCAGAATTGTTCATTGTATCGGATGAGACTTGCTGTTACAAGGTAAAGCTACTGTAACTCTATTCGCTCAGACTTGGGCGTGAGAGAGAGAGTAAACTCTGAGCTGAGAACCTCATAGTTTACTTTGGAACAATTTAGCCTCTGCACTTCAAAGTGCAAGTTTGTCGATTCCATCTGATGCATAGTGTTATTCTATGGTTCTTTCTGTTCCATCTCCAGCATATATTATCAAACATTTGCTCGCTTCGACGCTGATCCATGAAAGATTGAGATGTTAAAAAGCTACATAAACGATATTTTGAATATCGAAATAGTTCCGGAAGTTTGCATGAACTTGATTTACAACCAAGCAATTGGCAGGATTAGAAAAACAAACAAGTGCTCTGGATAAGAATGTCTCTATATCGAAGTTTACATTTTGAGTCACCTGCTGTTGATTTTCCAATAAGATCATGATTAAATCCTCACTCGTGATAAAAGACCATCCCCTATTAGAAGACCTGCCTAAGGTTTGTGAGTTACAGACCAGAATACAGGAGAATGGTCTTTTATTTCTGCTGTGGTTTTTGAAAAGAAATAATTATACTGTATATTCAGGATAAAGAGAATGAATTTTTTTGACTTGCGTATATTGTCGAACTGAAAGGACGTCGTATTTGGATTGCGTGTTCAATCGCAAAATTTATTCAAAAGATGTATGACTTTTATTTTTGGAGATGATAAAAACAATAAAATGGATACGAGATTCAACAATAAATCGCAGGAAGTAGTCTGCTACCCAAGAAACATCGACTAATTTGAAGCAAACGCCACTTAATTATTTTTCCAGTAGAAAATAAAATTGTTACTGGAGATTGAAATGAAGCTTTTTTGTAGCATCTCAAAATAACAGTTGTTTTACTAAAAAATATTGGATTTTTTTTGGAAAAGAAAACCACAAAATTCCAAAAAGAAATGGGAATGCTTTCAAACGAAAAAGGAAAACGAATGCAAAAGATCATGATTAGCATATATAAATGACTTTAGATAATTCTAGTCATGAGTGGTGAGAAAAAGGTTGACATCAATAGAAGATCACCCCCAAACTTTTGAGTTTTCTGACAAAATCAAAGACCTTCTAGTACGGGGGGAGGGGGGGGGTGGAAGCGATATTATACTCGGCTGTTTGTAGATAAATATACAATTTTTCACTGTTCACTTTCACCCTGATTCCTGTCGTTATTTTCTAGGTCCCGTTGATTAGGACTGAAGTTTAGAGCTGATTTTAATGTATTTTGAATAGCTTCCATAGTAGACAGAAACTTTAGGTAAGAATACTTGAAAACCAGATTTTCAACAGAATTTGAGGGTAGAGAGACACTCTTAGAACTGCAACAAAAAATTTAAATATTACAGCCGGATCAGCGAAAGTCTCTATCTCATTTGCTCTCTACGTTACAGGGAATTGGGCTATATACTCATATGAAAATATTACTCTATTCTTATTTTAATTTCTAGAGAATTAGATTGGACTCCAAACCAAGAAAAAATTTCTGAAACTTATTTTTGAAAACGATATTGAAATTCTTTTGATAATGAAAAGATGTCCTCCCACCTTAACTTTCGTAAGTGAGAATCGCATATCTTGATCTATCATATGACAGGCAGATGGAAGAAATAACGCATGGCACTAAATTCTTACGTCACTAACAGTTACATTTTTGGGCTTTTCTAGAACATAACGAGAGATTGGTCGGTTAAAATTATCCAGTCTTCCGTCTGTCGAGAAAGATCGAATATTATTAATAATAGTTCTTGGTTTAACTTCAGGTGGTATATCGGATATGCTGTTTGTTGTGATGTTCTCTAAGGAATGTATTTTATACATTTTTGGTTGCAGTAAAATTACTTGCTTTCTGTAAATGTCTAATAATACTTGAGCACTATATTCTATCTGCTCTTGATCTTTCATTGAATTTAGTAATCCACGATGACGTCCCATTAACATTGTTATAACAAGTATTATTTTACTAGGAATGGATAATACAGTAGCAAAACTTGATTTAATATTTGGATATCCAGTTGTTAAACCGACTGCTCCAAACGCCGATATTACTTCGAATATTATTTTAAAAACAGTTATATTTTCATCGATTGGTACCGTATGGTGAGACTCAAATGCACAAATCAAAAATATAAATATAAATAACCATGTACGTGTCAATATTAGAAAACTAAATGTATGCGATAACATTTTACGAGAAAAAACTAATAGAAATAATTGTATTCGTAATAAAGATACGTTAACTGGTGGAGTTTTAGGTTTATTGTTCTCAACTTTTTCAATTTTGGAAAAATATTTTCTAGCACGTAGTTTTGCTTTTAAACTTTTTTTTCTAATTAATTTATGCATATGTTGAATTGGAAATATCATTGATGATCCGCATGATGATGTACTCGATAAACGTCGACGATTTGTAGTTGTAGGAGCTACTGATTGTTGAACTGTTTTTTCAACTTCATCTTGTGTTTGTAATGATATCCATTCAAGTTCAAATGGACTTTCATCTAATGCACATAACATTTGTGGTTTAACTGCCATTAACAATAAATAGACAATTAATGTTGCTTCGGCAAATAAACTAACATCAACTGTTTGAAAACCCGCAAAACGAGAATTCACAGTTTGGAATAAAAATATTAATAATCTTTTTCCAGGAGTATAACTAGCAAAACTCTGATTACTATAATCTAACATTAGTGATACAGTAAAACCAAGTATGTATAATAATATTGTCATTGTAATATAAATACGTGTTTGAACAGTTGGAAATAATACCGTTGATAGACGATGATTATTTAATAGAATATAGTCAAATACTATTTTATGTTTCCAAGGACTAATAAATTTAACAAAAATAATAATATTTCGAAATATAAACGGAAATAAGGAAGTACCACTAATTACTAACTAGAAAAACATATAGTATTAAATGAAAACAATTACAGGACACCGGACATAAACTGAGAAAAAGTAGTTACATTCAATGAATGTTTGTTATAAAAGTGATCAATATATTTCTATTTTACCTTGTTTGTACAATAAAAATTTCTGCTTACCGTTCGCCCAAGTAAATTGTGAAAATCTTCGCTTAACAATTTATTCATTTAACTCGTTCGAGCTTAACGGGCTCAAACTAGGGGTTTCAGTTCCTATAGTTAAGACCTAGTTACCAATTCAGTTCCTGTTAAACGGGAACTGATTACCAGTTCTTTTCACGAATTCAAAATAAAATAAAACCGATGTAGCTAGTTATTCTAACTTAGTTTAGTCAACTAAACACACCACCTACCTATGACGCACTACACAAAGTCAATGTAACTAGGTTCATCGGTTTTATTTCAATTTTAATTTTTTGAAAAGAACTGAATTGGAATTGTCTCAACTCTAGCTTAAACGCTTTTATATTTTCTTAACAGGGGCGTAACAAAAGTAAGATAATGCGCTTTTCTGCTGTGGAAATTAATTTTTCACGTGGTACACTAAGAGATCGAACCTCCGAGGTGATCCAAAATGCCTCAACTATTCAGATGGGGATAGAAGCCGCTGTTTCTTAACACATGTGAAAGAACTACAGTTGGAAGAGTTACTCTTAACAGGTTTGAACCAATGTTGGTGACTAACACGTTCTAACAGTTTAAGGAATAATCCGTTTAAACCTATTATAATCAAAGTCATAAAATACTTCTCGTATTCTAAAAGTTAACGAGTTTGAACACCTTAACTGTTTAGTCTGTTCATAACGTGTTACATGTTTGTTACTTGTTCCAAGTCAATGAGTGACTAATCATCGGACATAGGATAGAAGTGTCGCAGTACGTGCTTAAAAAAATTAACGTTGCTATAAAGACTCAATAATACAATTTCAAGTTTTTATGGTATTTCAGATATTTATAGTTATTATAGGTTACCGAATGTTTGTATGTATGCATAGATGGAGAATCGAAGAGATCTATATTTCTGAAGGGAACAGCGGCAAAACCTAGATTGAGTTTGTGAAGTAAATAATGATGCGAAATTTTGAGCTGCTGGAGAATCTGGTGAGGAACGGAAGGTTGATACTGAGAGTGAATAGAAAAACAATATTTCTCACTATTTTATCGAATGGTTATGAAATGGGACAGTTTGATCTGTATTTGTTTGAATAAGATGAGTCTATCTGCTCGACAATTAACCTGTTTTAGGATATTTACAGAGTTTAAAATGTTTTCATATACTTTATGCTCTTCGCAGTACAATTTTATTGATATTAATAATAGGTGAATAAGACTGTTTATCATTTTTTTGTATGAAAACAGAATGATTTTTAAGATTTAAGTGCGATTCAACTAGTCGAAAATTGACAAAGATAAGTACATAAATAAACAAGATGTGAATACTGCTCGATAAAACCGTATCTCGAACAAAATCAAGTTATTGCAGTTTTTTTATGACATCTCGTCGGAATGTTCAAGCGTTCCAGTAGGTTAGAACAGTGATGTTTTTACCACAGTTTTTGTTTAGCATAACAACTCCGATATAAATCCTATGTCTTTTCCTAGAAGAAAACATCTAATTTAAAAATTTCTTAAATCTTTTTGCCTTTTTCTTTATTCAGGTGTGAAAGATTAGTCTATCGCAATGGTGTCGATGAACAATACTTAAACGATTAATCATTGTGGATCCTGAGATTCATCAACTCAAAGAAAAGTAGGTGAAAACGAAAAACGAAGGCAATTAATCAGAACGGGTTAAGTTGTATCATACTAATGATAATATTGAAAAATAGATAATAAATGCATGCACGTCTGAACGCATTCCAAAATCTAACCTATTTTAATTTGTTAATGGCTGAAAGAGTTTAAACGCTTTACTATCGAAGGGATGCGCTAGCTCGGGATATCGGGGTTTCATTAAAACATTTTTCATTAAATGAACTTTCATTAAAAGAAAGTTCATTAAAATTTTCAATGAAATTCTGGTGCAAATCAAAAACTCTAGGTCACAGTCATTTTGCAGAAGATATTTTAATGTATCGGGACTTCCATTAAAAACATTTTTAATAAAAGTTCCGGTACTTTTTGTTAGCGGCACGTGCCGCAAACACAGGATGTCACGTTCTTGTCTTGTCGTGTTTTTAGTCTCTACATACAGTAGTGTTATTCTTCTTTTTTTCTGGTATCACTCTTTTTTTCGTCTGTATATATAT